GTTACACTAATTGCAATAATTAAGTTGTAACTAATAACTTTGCAATGCAATAATTAAGTCAACTATAGTCTAGTTCGCTGCGGAGAATGGGCGTGTCAAGCGAGGTGAATTTGGCGCGGTGCCAACCAGTTTTCCACCAGTTGTTAAAATGAGCAAGTAACAATACAGTATCATATCGTTTGTATCACTCGTTTTCTACCAGCTGATGTCGCATACCCGCTTGAACAACTGGCAGAAAACAGGTTTGGCACCGTGAGAAACTCATCCCGTCTGACATGCCCCTCCGCCCGAACCTAAGTTTAACTTGAAATGAATAACTTCAAATCTTCCAACATAGATAGAAAACTTAACAAAATGAATAAAGTATGTTGAGCTTGACTGACCGTGATACTACTATTTTCTTCACAGTGTCTTTGAGATCCACCGGGGTCACCTTGCCTCCAGATGACGTCATCACACCCCATCCCTTCACTCCTACGACTGCAAAAAGCTTTCTCAAGTGATTTGTTTCATTGAGCTTTTGTTTAGCGAAGAGACTGTGAAGGACAGAAACTTCTCGTGAAACAACTGAAGTGTTAGTGGTCATCAGCTCTCATCAATAGCTCACCTGTTTCATTGAAGAACGGCCGATAAATGGCACCAAAAATTGGTTCATCCTTCTGAACCACGCATGTCATTACAGTGACGTACTCTGTCAGGCCCTCTGAAAAGTTGTTGAGAGCATTGCAACGAAGAATTTCAATAAACACAGCTTCAGAAGGTACGAATCGATACCAGGTGTACTCCTGAGTGGCATCGAGAGGGTCAACATAAACCAGAACGTCAGAAAGCGTAAGACGGCGAGAAGGAATCATAGCGAGTACATCGCGGATGGACAACCACATCGAGTAAGAATCAGCTCGATATGGCGCTGCATCGGATTCCGAAATGGACGAATCCTTTTCCTTCAGTTACAATCTGAAATAAAAATGAGTCAAGGACTGCAAAACAAGATAACACGTGCAACTGCCTACCTTTAGACGGGGAAATCGCTGTAAAACATCGAGGATTAGGAAGTTCGATACGAGATCAGCCTTGGTTAGTAACTCAGCTTTTCCTTCGTCAGTCAGGCCTTTCTGCGCAATATTCAATGCTAAATAAACATTACTTTGGCAGAGTTTCCACGTAGAATAATAACTAGATAGAGCGCTCAAAATAAGGGGGTATCCGAACGGTGGGCGGTGGAAGTGATGCGTTGTCAAGTAACACACTTATC